CCACTCCCAACAACCTTCTTCTATTCATTGAATTCTTTGAAACTTGGCACTTAGGAGGTAAGGAGTTGATTCTGTGTACACAGATTTGCAAAGCAAAAATGGGATCAAGGTCTTTTTCTCAATTTTGTACGCTTATTGTATAACATTTTTGCTGTGAAGAAGAGGCATGTAATCTCTCTGGACACAAATTCAGTTTTGGGAACAGTAAAACCATGCATTTGTGATAATATCTTCTAGATAGAAGACGTGTCCAATAATCTGAGAGAAACCTCTGGAAGAACATGACATTATGAATGGATTAATGGCATTTACCAAAAAAATTAAACATGATTATATAGCCTCATGCCACTGATCCTTGTTTCACAATGAATACCCTTTGGACTATAATGTATCCTAAATAGAAAACTATCTTTGGATAATTTTTTCCTTTAAAAAATCTGATTTAAATCAAGTAAATTTGATTTTTTTTAATCATTGATTTTTATCCACTGTGGTCAGGAATGCACATTCAAGCCTTGTCTACAACAGCTTTGAACATGTCTCCTTTACAGACCTACAGCATAAGGGTCTGTAGAGGAGACCAGTCCTTGCACCCTGGAATGGTAGGGGTGAGGCTTTTGTGTGTGTTTCCCACCTTCTTTTAGCCATGCTGTGATCAGGCAAATGCCTCAGCAGGGCTAGTTGGAATACATTTATATAACATCCTTCTTCATGGGCATATGCAATATTTGTCTGTGCCAGGCCTGCGTTGGCATAAACCTTGCAAGGATTCAGATTTGAGCAAACTCTCTTTGGTTAGAACCACAGTTATGTATAAGCTGTAAAGCAGCTGCCAACATACAGGGTGCAAGTAATCTACTAATATTGGAACCATGGTCCCTTTTAGTCCAGGATATAACTCGCTTACAAACACTGGAGTCACCTAGTCCAAATGTTCCTCTAATTCACCAAAGTATTCAGGTCCATTGAATTTTTCCCCTGCCAGTATTAGGTTTGATGCAAGAGGGCAAAAATGACAAGTGGCAGTATATAAATTGCCACTTGAAAGGCATAGGTCTACCATAGTAAAGCAAATGTAATGAATATTGGAGAAACAAGGACTTAATTCCCAAGCCACCTCTAGATCAACCATTCAAATACTTCTGCACAGGGATATTTTGCTCTTTGAGAAAAGGACAAGATGCTAGTCCTCCTGCATTACAATGTAGGAGCTGACTGAACTGGCTGCCGAATCTTACTTTGACCCTAGCGATGGGACAGCACTCCTGGCCACTTATGAAGGTCCTAGCAAGCTGCAAGGCACACACAGCTGTATCCTGCAGCTCTGCACCACTGCCACTGTTGCCAGTGCTCTATAGCATCTGCAGCCTGAGGAGGCCACCTAAAGGGACAGCCAGCTCTGAAGAACATACATGAAACATCTGGCAGGGGAATCCAAAGTCCACCTAGGCCAGTCTCCTCCTTTCAGCGGTAAATAACCAGATGTTTTCTGGTAGGCTTCGCACAGGCGCACGAAAGCAATAGGCCTCTCCCACTGCTTGCTCCTCACCCCAGGGTTAGTATTCAGAAGCACAGAGTTCTCAGACCATGGTGGTTTCTTCTGTTGTCACGACACAGATTTGCACCTGGCAAGTTCACCACGCTGACCATTCTCCAGCAGCTCACTTTTTTTCTTTGTTTTAAAGTGAAGTCTTCCTAACTCTGTTTGTGCCCTGCACTCCCAGTCAGAGCTTCAGGCAGCATCTCTTGCTTCTGTGTGGAGTCACAGTGATATAGGTGAGAAATTGCTCTTTTGTTTGAAATGTTACACTTATCATGCAGGAGAGGGCAAACTAGCCAGCTGGTACTTGGGCCAAAGTTTATCTCTGTGGTTCTAGGCCCCTTCCAGTGGCATTTGCCATACGCAGGAGAAGCGATGGATTTCTTATCGCGGGGCAAAGAAGCAAGGTGCCTTATCTCTCAGCAAGCAGAAAAGGCAGAATTCAGAAAGATAAGGAAAGTTCAGCGATGCTCCCTCAGCCTGCAGACGTCTTTTTTCAGGCAATGGAGTGGAGGCTGCTGTGCTGTGAGGCCAAAGGACAGCTGTCATTCATGGCGGAACTGGGATAGCGTGACGCACAGTAAAGCAGAGGCAGAGGCAAGGATGCTGGATTGAACTCAGCACGGCCACAATCCACCAGGATGGTCTTGGCATGTGCCACTGAAATGGATGAGAAATGCACAACAGCAGGGTAGGATACAATTCTGCAGATCCTGCCCAAGTCAATTAAGCACTGGAGAAGGTCCAAGTAGATTGTGCCCCACGTCCATTAGGGAAGAACAGAAGAAGGGTAGCATTCCACTTTCCATCTCAAACAGGACAGTGTTTCTGACTTTTGTTGAAGGGCACAAGCCTCTTTGCCTGTCACCTTTTAAAAAATCTCAACCAGTACCTATTGCAGCTTTTCCTTGCTTGCTGAAGTTGACTTTTAAGTTCATTGCCACGGTGCCCAGTGTGACACCAGCAGTACCAGACTCATTGGTACTGTTGCATGTTCAGACGTAGAGATCAGAAATTAGCTATGTGTAGACCTTGTTCCATTCTTTCTTTCTTACCATCATGAAATGCATCTTGATCCTTCTGTTGTGTCTTTCTTCTTAGGGGCTCAGAACTACACAGGATTCCCCTCTGGATACTTGACAGGCCCCAGATCTGCTTAGTTTAACAATGGAGTCACAACGGATGTCTCCTGTCCATTTTCTGAACCAAAATTTTGCCATTGTGAATATCACGCCTCTCAGTTCCGCAAATTCTGGAAAGTTCAACATTTCATACCAATCATATTATTATCTTTGAAACTTAATGAGAAAATTATTGTTGTTTTCATACTGCTTTACAGTATCAGAACCTATACATGTTTGTCTATTCACAAGTGATTCCCATTTAGTTCAGTAGAGCTTTGTCTCAAGTTTGTATAGGATTGTGGCCTTTGAGTGTCAGATACTGCTACCTACTCCCTGTGTCCCAGTGGCAAAATGTTCCAGGGGCAGCTCTGCTGGCTCCAGTTTTCTTGGATATAGGCACACTGGAAACTTCTCACACCTTTGTAATCTCTACATTATTGGCAAAGATAGAAGCAGATGCTTATAAGCAGATGGCACTGCTGCTTGTCCTATCCTAAGAACTTGTGTAGCCTCCAAAGCCTTCATCTGCCTCTGAGTTTCAGCCACCTTCAGCTAGAAGATCCCTTCTCTTTCCCTACCCTTGTCCTCTGTATCTGTGTGTGAAATTTTCACTGCAAATTCTCAAACCCCTGGAGACTTCACTTCTGCAGATAAATTGTCCACCCAGGAAAAGCATCCATAGTATCAGAGAACCATTTTTGTCAAGTTCTAAATCCTGGTAGGTGAGACTTCAGGCAAAACCATCTGGATAATTCAATTCAAAAGTCATGAAAAAAACCCTCTCAAAAACAATGAAGGATGGGGGAAAACACTCAAAAGTAAAGAAAAGAATCAAACAGGCAACACATAACTAATTAGGCAGAAAACAGAAAGATAAGAAAAGAGTGATGCTGGCAAGAGGATGAAGGGCTCTGCTCACCTGGTTGCACTACTTAATTGCAGACTAACTTAATTTTAGTTAGACTTACTGAAGCCTAACTTAATGGTAGGCTATGCTCTGAACCTCACTGGGTATGTATTTTAAGAAAGCTGGAAGGTGCTGAAGCCCCCCTTACTGGTCTGCTCTTGAATCATGTAAGGACCAAATCAGGGTGTTCTTTTGATCCCATTCTCTGGCCCCTTGAACAGAAAGCAAACCACCCGTTTGACCCAAAGCAGAGGGTGTTTTATCATGAAGATAACTTCAAGGAACAAGAGATAAAAGCAGGGCTGCCAATAACATGTGCCATGCTGTTTTCCTTTAGATCAGGGGTCTCAAACTCAACTTACCTGGGGGCCGCTGGAAGTGGAGTCTGGGTGAGGCTGGGCCGCATCAAGTATTCCACCCCCGTGGTGGTGGTGGGCCGCTCATCCCGCGTCCGGCCCGGGCGCAACCGGCACTTTGAAGGCCGCAGGGCCCCTCCCCCGTGCCCTGCCCATCCTGGCAATTGGCCCGCGGGCCGCAAGTTTGAGACCCCTGCTCTAGATCATAAGCATGTATAGTTCTTTACTCATTTCTAAGTCACCTTAGGAATGCTGAATGGATGTTGCATATAAAAATAAATCCATTGAATAGACATTTTGAGCTGTACATTCATCTGAGTTTTAATAGGAAGCTGTTTAGAATTAAATAAACTTGACTGTTACCAAAATCTCAGTATTGATGCTCTTTGATGGACTAAAATGAAGTTTAAAGTAAGCCTTAGTTTAATTAACATTAGCAACTGTGCTTTATTAACAGGAAAGAATGGTTATTTATGTTCATTTATATGTTAATTCCTTATTACACTATTACAAACTCAGAATAGCTCTTGGCTGTCCATATTGGCACCCCAATTCACCTGCTTGCCACAAAACTGAAAACAGGACAGGAATATCCCAATTAGCAATCTGTTGTGGTGGTAATATAGCTCACGGAGAATAGGCCAGCCATGCTTTTGCTATCTGGGATGATGGGACTAACAGTTGATTGCATCTGAAAGGCACCAGGCTGGAAAAGGCTGCATTAGAAGAAAGCACTAGTCATATGGACCCTGCCTGTACTTCTGCATCTGGACCTGCAAGTTCTGGTGTGTATTCAGGGAGGGTGGGGCTTCTGCTTGTGCTCATCTCCCTCTTTCTGTGTCTTCCTTCACTGTATGCCCCTGTCTTCATTATCTCTGCATACACCCACACATCAACAGGTTCCAGGAAAGGCCAGGTAAGTGCAGAGTGCAACTCTTCACTCACCACGGTGCTGATAACGAAGAGAAAGGTTATCTCTTCCCAGCTGGCATCATCTGTGGTGGCAGAGCCCCACCTCCCCCCGCTCCCCCAGCCCCCGTGCCCAGGAAAGGTCTCCACGTCCTCCCTGCTGCTAGCTGGGCAGATGGCTTGGGCAACTCTCCACAGGCATGCTGTGCATACATCTGGAAGGTATAAAGAGCACCGAGGCTCACCGGCAGGCTGGCAGGCGGGGGTCGCGCTGCTGCTCGTGTATCCCTTCGTGTCCTGCCTGAAGCTGGCCATGCACAAGCTACTCCTGGCTCTGGCACTTGGGGTGCTGCTGTCGGAGATGAGGTTGGCGAGCGAGGCCAGGACACCCCCATACGGCGTTAAGCTGTGTGGCAGGGAGTTCATCCGTGCAGTCATCTTCACGTGTGGAGGATCCCGCTGGAGACGGGCAGGTGAGCAAGGACGTGGGCATCCTGGGACCCTTGAGGGGAGCAAGAATGGGGCTCTCAAAGCAGGGGCACAGAAGAACTTGTGAGTCTTAAGGCCAGCCTGCACCAACCTAATGCCTCCCCCAGAAGTTGTAGCTTCCAGCGCCTAGTATTTCTAACCATTGGTCTTGCTGGCTAGGGCTGATGGGAGGTGAAGTCCAAAACATTTACCTGGCAATATTTTGGGGATGCTGCTTAATGCCCAGGTCACACACTTATTTTATTGGGTAGCAATGTATTCTTTATTGGAAAAACTGGCATGCCACCTCCACCACACAGACCCCTATAGGACTCTGGGGGATCTCTCCCTAATTTTGGCAAATATGCCCCTTCTGCCCCTGTGTTTATTTGGAAAGAAAGGGGTCAAATAATAGCTTCATTTTGCATCACATATGGCATAGCAGAAGGGGAAAAGCTGTTTTGTGCTGAGAGATTTGGACATCTGTATCATCCAGCCAGGTGGGAAGAATACATTTCTTCCATTCACACAAGACATAGCTGTGCAGTACAAAGTGGAGCCTGAATTTGAAGAGAGGCTGAACTGCAGACAAGTAGAAACAGACTGTCATTTTTAAGCTATGATAAATGGTCTTGGGGGCAATTGTATTATAAATGTTAAGTAAAAGCATTTCACGTTGCAGAGGCAGGGAGCACTTACAACATCTATCTTCACATGCTAAGGTCTTGTGTCTGCCACATGTGCTGGACTGAAACTCCCATCATCCCCAGCCAGGATGGGTCTTTCCCCATGCTACCTGCCGGTGCTGGAACCTTTAGCATGTGAAGTGTGTGTATGTTGCCCATAGGTTTGGGCCACCGCTTACTCGGCAGGACAGTAAAACAATGCAATGGATACCCAAAGGAATGAAAGAGTAACTGTGTCAGGTCAGTGCAATTATTTGCCCCATGGATCTTCAGATGCGGCAAGGGCATGTCTTGAGAGAAACTGCCTTCTCAGTGGCTGCTCCCAGGCTCTGGAACTGCCTGCTGAGGAAGGGGCAGGGTGTGGGGGGAGCACAGCAGGGCTCGCTCGCTCTTGCTTGGGAGCGTGAAAGGCAGGATCTCTCTCTGTTTTATCAGATCAAGCAGCCCTGCGCAAAGAGATGCAGGTAGAAAGCCAGCAGGGCCAGAGGGGCAATCCACTGCACTGCTCCATGCACTGCACATGTGACTGTCTTGCAAAACAGAAGTCATGGTGGGCGCTCACTGTAATGAGCTCCTGGTTCACAAGGAACAAGCCAATGCTGCTGACTGGGAGAAGTGAAGGGAGACAGAAAGGTTGGTGGACAATGCCTTCAGGGACATCAAAACAGTCCCAATTCCTGGGTGACAGCTTCTCTGTCATGGAGAATGTGAGCTTTGGGGAAGGAGGGTGTCATTCTGAGGACAAAGGAAGTGATCTCTTAGAAGGAACTCATTCCTGGAAGCGTGTGCAAAATCCTATTGTCCAGGGAGTGGGAGATTTGGTCATTAGGTACATAGATAGCTGGGCCTGTGACAAGTGTATAGCTCAGATGATAAACTGCTTGCCTGGTGTGTAGCTTGGGCATCCCATACTGTCCAGATAGCTTTGTAGATATTGCAGGAGTGGAGTCACTGGTTGGGATCCTTGCTGATACCACTGGCATGGGGAAATGTAGTTGTTAGGTCCTAGAAGCCAAATGTAGGTTGCTAGGTCTATAGGCTGAAAACCAGGAACTTGACCAAGCTGCCTCTGTCTGTAAGACTATCTGTTCCATGAGCAGCATCAGCTAGTCGGGTACAGCTGAGGAGTCTCAATAAGTGGACAAGAGAGAAGAGCGGTGCAGGGAGAAGAGATTCAAATGTGTAAGGTACTGGGGAACATTTGGGGATAACCCAGGCCTGTATAAGAGCAGCAGATGCTCTTGGCTGGTTCATTGAACCAAATGAAACCAGATCACTGGCTCTATCACTGTTTTGACAGCCCTTCAAAATGCTTAAGTGGCACTTTGGTGGGGTTCACAGTGGTTGAAAAGCATATGATTGATATTATAATTATTTTTGTACACACGATGTGTGCCAAACTTCATTTTATTTTGTTTTACATTAGCTGCATTTGTGCAACTGTGCAGAACCCTCAATGGGGCAATATCAAGCAGGTGCCTGCTGCCAAAGCGCTGCAGGTACCAAACCCGGCCACAGACCCCAGGAGGGCCCAAACAGGCTTCCCCCCTTTTTGCTTCATCTTGACAGCTAACAAAAAGCAATCTGTCAAGGAAAAGCAAAGGCTCAAGTAATCTTTGCTCATGAAAAAGGGATGGTGAGAGTTATTCCTGCTTGGCAGCAGGATCCTTGTGTGTATGTGTGTCTATGCCTTACCAGTCCTCAGGGTGATACACATTTTTCTCTTTTCCATGAGGCTTTAGATGTTTAGGAAAGTGAAAAGGGCATCCCACACCCCTTTTCAGAGAGAAAAAAACAAATTTTGACAGCCAGCATTTTGACACATGCAGTTTTGACATGTACTTTTGACATAAACCATCTCCCATTGTCCTGTCAAAACCCCCTTCGGAAGTGCATCTAATCCCCTTTCACCAGCAGAAAAGGGGGTAGCATGCACTTCACACTTCCTCATGCAGCTGGTGTCTCAGAGGAAAATGCAAAATGTGCAGCATCCTGAGGAATATCAGGGCAAAAAAAAGGGAACTCACCATCACCATTTTTGCGTGCAAATATCATTGTGTCCAGGGTTGGTATACGCTGCACTCCGACAGCTAGTACTTCCTTGTCATTGCCCCAGCAAAGGTTCAGATTTCTGCAATTGCACAAGAGCAACTAATTAAAAAATCTTACATGCACTATGTGAGCAAACTATTTTTTAAAAAACATACCAACTGACAGCCCCTCCAATGTGCTGCTCAGACACTTTGAAGGGTCTTCAAAACAGAGATAGTGAAAGTCAGCTGTCCAGCTGAACCTTGCAGTCTCATAAAAAGGGGAGATAAAGTGGGGGAGGCTGAAGCAAGTTGAAATGGACTCATAACTGCAGCAGAAAGGGCAGCAAGCCAGTGATAATTGTCCCCAAGTGCCATTTGGACATTCTTGGGAGGACTGGCAAACTTGGCAAGAGCCTTTTGCTGCTCTTGCCAAACCACTTGCTAGCTGAATCCTGGTACAATGGGGTCAGCTGCCCAGGTTTGTACAACATGACAACATATCAGGGATACATCCCCTAAAACAAGCCATTGGTTTCAGAACAGCTTGTGGCCTTCAAGAAAACCACCTTGTGGAAATTGGTCTAAGTTTCTATGATTTAAGAACCCATGTTGGTTATCATGTTTTTCAGACCCAGTCAATATGAGGCCCAACTGAGATCTGCATTGGGGCAAATGCCTTTCATTTCATTAATAGATGATTGGGAATTAAGAGTGAGCGGTGAAGTGGCCAACTTCACTGATGGCGTCAAATTGGTTAGGGTGTCACCTGCAAATCAAGCAGACAATGAGGAGCTCCACAAGGATCTTTCCAAACTGGTAGAAGGGGCTTCAAAATGGCCAATGAAGTTCAATGTAAGCAAATGTAAAATAATGCATGGGGGGGGGGGAATAACCCCTACTTTGAGTATAAGCTGGTGAAATCTGAGCTAGCCACCATTGCCCCACTTGAGGGTCTTGCACAGATGCACAAAAGGACTGTGGTGCAGATCTCAATGAAGATGTTCTCCCAGAATGCTGCCCGTGAAAAGGCAATTTCCATTTTAGGTATAATTAAGATAGGTATTGAAAATAAAATTGCCAATATCACACTGCCCTTAATTAATTCCATTGTGCAACCATCCTTAGAACACTTGGTACCATTCTGGTCATTAAACCTGAAAAGAGATACTGTCAAGTTGGGAAAAAAATGCAGGTAAGAGCAACAAAAACGATCAAGGGGTTAGAGCCACTCTCCTTTAAGGAAATGTTACAACATCTGGGATTCTTTGGCTTAGAAAAGGGATGGGGGGGGGGCATGAGAAGTCTACAAAAGGCATGGTGTGAAAAAGGTGAAGGACATTATTACACACCATCTAGATAAAAAGAAATACTTCTTCACGTGGTCCCTAGTTAAATTATGGAATTTACCTGGAATCTACAATTTAGAATCCATCTAACTTGGTGATGGCCACCAATTGAGATGGATTTAGAAGGGGACTGGAAAAGGCTGTCCATGGGCACTTGTCTGGATGGCTTGTGCTCCTTCCAGGATCAGTGTGCCGATGTACGTCCCTTGCAAGGGAACTTGCTTGGCAAAGTGCTGTTGTGATCCTGTCCCGTTTGCAGGATCTCATGGCAGCTGGGTGGCCCCTGTGTAAACAGAGGGCTGGAAGAGATGGATCCTTGGTCTGATCCTGCAGGACTCTCTGATATACCTTGCCTCTTCCACCAGGACAGGTTGGAGCTGGGATGGGGACTTGTTGGTTCACATCCCATGCACAAGTTTCTTCGGCCTGTAACCGAAGAGCATCTAGTCATCAGGCCTAAGGTCAAACCATCTTACATTCTAACATGCACCTAGGTAAAACCAGACGACTACTCCTACTGGAGAAAAGCAGCTTCAGGACGGTAGTGGTCAGCAATGAAGTGCTGGGGGGGGGGGCACCGACCCTCCTGCGCTTGCCAATTTTCCACTGCAGTGCCATCCCAGATCTTCTCCGACACCTCAGTTTTGTGGTATTCAGAGGCATGCTGACCAAGTGCTGAAAGCTGGCTGGTGTGGGATAGGGAGCTCTAGTGGCAAAGCTTCAGACAGGAGAAAAGTGAAGCACTTGTTCTGTGCAAGGAACAATTTCTTCCAAAAGAGGTTTTTTCTGAAGAGAAGCAGGTGACAGGCTGATATCCACACGTAAAAGGTAGTACGGCCTGAGTGAAGAACCTCTGAGCACGTAGCTGGAATTAATGGGCAGTACACTTTGGCCCCTGCCATTGGCCAGAGGACCCGAGATGGTGCGGGACCACTATGCTTGCCTCCCAGGAAGAGCATAGTGCCAAAGAGATATCAAGCTGCCCCCCCCCTCCGCCCCGGTGGGAGAAAAAGCAGCCACATGGAGCTCGAAGCAATGGTTTTGCTCTTCCGCTTTCTTTCACATCTTGCCATCGAAATTATACAGGCAGGTTTGTTTTATGATTGACCATTTAAGCTGTTCTGTAGCTTGTAGTGGGCATGATTTTTTAACTTCTTTTCTTCGCATTCATTTGCATGTCCTGCTTTTTCTCCAACAGAATTAGAGACTTTTAGGCTTATTGCAGAAGTCTAGAGGAGGAAAGTGGCACCAACAGCAGGAAGGGGTGGGGGGAAGAATGTGCGTCCAGTGCTTGCTTCTGACAATTACTTCTGAGTAGACATGTCTAAGACTGCACAGTGAAACTGTGAATCTTCAGGTCAAGCCAGAAGGCCTGCCTACTTTAGGTGAATTATCAACATACAGGCTGAATATGGGGGTGAATTATTATACTCCATATCTAGAAGGAATTTCTGCTCAACAGCACAGAATTTATTTTCAGACATTTTCTGTACTTGGACCTACACACAAACTTTTACTTAAATCAAGCCTAGCTTAGCAGTGGCCACTGAAGGAACAGTAAGACCGAGGAAGTGAATTTGCTCCCTTCAATTTCCCTCAAAATTCTTGACAGTGAATTTCTGTGTTGGGTATTTTCATAATATTCTGTCTGTGCACAAACATCCAGTTAATATTTGGCACTCACATTAGCATAACATTCAGTGGTTCTGGGATCAATCTTTCACAGTATCTGACAATCAACCTACAGTAGTACATAGTAATATTTTTGCTAAGAGGCCAATTGTATGACCCCAGGATTGTTTGGATTTCTTCTTATGAGGCCTGGGAACACTCCAGCCTGCTCCAACTGCCCCTGAGAAAGGAAAAGTGATGGAGCAGCAGCAGCAGCAGCAAAGGCACTCCAGTAGACAGGGATGGAAAGGAGGGGACCAGAGGGCTCAGCTGTTGAGTCTCTTCCAGGGTCCTTCCCTCTTGCTCCAGAGCATCCTTGCTAGATGGACTGAAAAGAGCTGAGAATGGGAGGTGAAGGTTGCTGACACCCTTCCCTCCTTGCACTCTGAGTCTGCTAGGACTGCACCCTGAAGGCACAATTCCGTACAAGTTTAGACAGAAAAAAGGCCTCTGTTTTTCAATGTCGCCAGCCTGCCCTTATCTGTATAAACATGCTTAGGACTGCATCCTTAACTCACTCAAGCAGCTCAGAAGACATCCTCTTGAATGGGGAAGTGGGGGAACAAACTCAAATAAGGAACCAATGTCAGATGCATTCACTTAGCAGCCAGTGCTGCTTTTAAACACAAATATGTCCAATGTTATTTGAAACACACACACCAGAAAACAAAATTCTGAAATTTGAATTCTGGATGAAAATGTACTACAGTGTTTGAAAAGAATTAGAATTTGTTCAATATTTTGTTCTAGCTCTAATTTAGACAATCCCTCAGCTTCATGTAATATATATTATTTGGGGAAGTCCTGGTGTTTGAAATGTTAACAGCTCAGCAATGCTGCAAGTTTGCTGAGTCAAGTGCATTGTCTCATATCCCAGCCACAGTTTCCAACACTTTCTCATTGCAGAAAATTTTGGCACCCTCCCTGGAGATTCTGCAGAAGCCTTTGTTGCAACTTCTTCATCCACGGAATGGGACTCAGTTCATGTTCCTGCAAAAGATCTGTCTGACTATTATGGGAACTGGAGAGGCCACCAGATATATGGACCCTCAGATGAAACCTCGGCTGTGGATCGGGGAGCCCGAGATGTTATGGCAGGACTGAGCAATGCCTGCTGTAAGTGGGGTTGTAGCAAAAGTGAAATCAGCTCCTTGTGCTAGATGGTAGCATGCATGCGTGTATGCACTCAGCAAAAGGGGCAATACTTGTAAATATTTGTGAGCTTGGAGCTTTGACCAGCAGATACTAAAATGTTTGCTCAGCCGACCATGACAATCCACTCCTTTAACCAAGCTAAGAGCAGATTCCCTAGATTCTGGTCTCAAGTACTGTGTGGGTCATACTAGCTGACTGCAACCTATGCTTGTACAGTGCCATGTGGCATTTGGACGTCTGGCTCCCGTCACAATCTGGATAAATGTTAATGATACTGGCAAGCCCCAGTTACAGGCAGGGTAAATAGGTACATCTCCCTGTGTCCCACTCTACCACTGTCCCCATGCAGGGCTTCAGTTCCACAGCTCCCATTGGTGAACCTCTGGGAAAACCAAATCCAGTTTATGAATTGAGCTTATTTCCCCTGAGTCACCACAGCCCTGAAATGACAGGTGTACTGCTGCCCCAGGGGCACATGCCCAGCTAGCACACTGAAGTGCACAAACGGAGGGATAAGGGGTCAAGTCCCTTGAAGGTTTGTGTGTATTTTCCATGTTTCCTCTCAAATGCAATCACTAATTTGAGCAGGATGGCACGTGTCAGTTGCTGCTACTTCTGAGTTATCAGTTCCTTCCTCAAGAGGAGCCCATTGCCTGTCCTCTCTGAGTCAAAGCTGAAATAAAAAGACGAAATGAAACAAAACTGAGAAAGTTGATCTGTGTTGTCCTGGAGTTGCAAGGCGATGTGAGGGCCTCTCAGTGGCAAAGGAATTTCTTGGTAACGTCAAGCAGGCCTACAACTAGAAATGTCACAGCGAGTCTGCCTAAAATACATCTCAGAGCCAACTGATGGAGTTCTGCTCATGCCAAACATTGAACAACACTGAGAAGGAAGGACCCCGAGAGTTCAGATGAGACCAGTGCAATTTCTCAATGCAGTTCTGTGCACCGCCTTGTAAAATTATCCCTTCAGTCCAGAAGAGCACCAGGGCCTTGGCCATGTGCAAACATCGCCATTCCTCCTGCAACTTGACTGGATGGGAGGAATGATGCTGGGGTGGGGGATGTCTAACAAACTGAATGCTGCATGCCAGAGACCCCCAATGTGGTGCTCACAGGCACTGCAAAGCATCCCCATGCACACTGTTTTAATATAGGTACATGATTTGGAGATATCTGTAGTTATGCATGCATACAAAATGAATACAGCTTTCTAGCACTTATACATAGGTTTCCACAAAAGCAGACCAAATAACCATATTAGCACTATCTATATGCCACTTGTTCCAATATGGAAATTTCTTAGCATTATCTTTCCAATCTCATAATACCTGTCTTTTAGCAGTCAAAAGGGCACAAAGAATCTATTTATGCTGACCATTTGTTAATTTCCATGAAATGGGTGAATAATTTAAGATGCATACATCAGTGAATATTAAAAATTGCTCTGGTACAAAAGGAATCTTTGTAATAATCTTCCCTATTTTTTAAAAAAAATAAATTCCTGGGCATTGCTGAAACACACGCTTAAAGGAAGCATGAACTCTACTGTACCAAAAGCAATTAGCCAAATCATACAGTTCCTTACTAAGGCAACACTGGTGTCTGATTGACGCAAAACAAGTTTTGCTGCCCAAGAGCCATAGATGTGACAAGCAGATGCCAAAGCAGCAATTTGCTGGTTAAGGCATTTTGTGTTGATGCCACAGCAGTTCCCAAATGCCAAAATGTGCCCAAAAGTCCAAGAAGTTTACAAACTCCTGCTCTATATGATGCCTCCAGTGACCTCCAGATGTGATGGGACTACAATTTCCATCAGCCTCAGACAGGACAATGCTGTAGATTATAGTCCACTCCCAAACACAACTGGGGGGCACCAGTTTGAGGAGCCAGAGCCTGAACCTTCTTTGTAAGGCAGGGCATAAAAATGACCAAGTTAAACATGCGCTCCAGCCACAACTTTTCCCCACCTGTGGGAATCCAACTGGATGTTTACTTTGCACATGTATTCTGGGATTTTGCAAGTGAAGCAGGCAGCAGTGTGGCTGATGTGCAACAGTGGGAAAGTGGTGAGGTGACCATCAGTGGGGAAAAAATAGTGGGTAGGCAAAGGCCCAAGTATATTCTCCTCACCTCCAGCTCTTTTCCACTCCAAATCCCCTCTCTCCTCAAATTTCTTTAAAGTGAAGAAGCAAGACATCAGGCTTTTATTTCACAAGTTTGTGTGCAAACATGTGTTATGTACACATGGCATCTTGTGCAGATCTGATATTTAAAGTATACAGTTTCACAAAGCCCTGCCAATAGCCTATTGGCCCATCAAGGTTTTGGGATTGCATCAGAAGTGCCACTGCAGCATGAGGAAATGTGAAGAAGATGCTGCAGTGACAGATTTTCATACCATGAACAATCTGCCATGAGAATCATTTGCACTAGACCAGCTGTGAAAGAGAAGCAATAGCATGTTATTAGAGCAATCCAAAACATATCGAAACATAGAAACAGAGCAAGTCAGAAGGGGCCTCTCAGGCCATCTAGTCTGACCGCTGGCACCAGCTGGCTCCGCTCACGACATGCCCACCATGTGCATGTCCAGTCTATCTTTGAACACCCTCACTGATGGGGCCTCAATGACCTGTCGTGGAAGCCCATTCCACACCCTCAGGGTCCTGACTGTCAGGAAGTGCTTCCTGGCATCCAAACGAAACCTTGGCTCCCTGAACTTTGCTCCGTTGGAGCGCGTCCTGCCTTCCTCTGCAGGGGAGAACAGGTCTCTACCCATCTCCCTGTGACATCCCCTCTCATATCTGTATGTCACCAACAGATCCCCTCTGAGTCTCCTCTTCTCCAGGCTGAAGAGACCCAGTTCCCTCAGTCTCGCCTCATACGGCATCCCCTGCAAACCGGCCACAAACCCTGTGGCCCTATGCTGCACTGACTCTAACCTGGCTATATCCTTCCAGTAATGAGGGGCCCAAAACTGAGCACAATACTCCAGTTGCGGATGCACCAGAGTTGTATAGAGTGGTAGTAATACCTCTCTTGATCTAGAAGCCACACTTCTGGCTATGCAACCAAGGGTGGCGTTCACCCTCTTGGCCACCGCATCACACTGCTGACTCATGTCTAGCCTGCAGTCAACCAGCACCCTGAGGTCCCTTTCACAAGGGCTCTCCAGCCACTTGTCACCTAACCTGTACTTATGACAGCTATTCCTATGTCCCAAGTGCCAGACCTTGCACTTATCCACATTGAACGCCATCCTGTTGTCTCCTGCGAACTTCCACAGTCTGTTCAGATCCTTTTGGATCTGGAGTACCTGCTCCTCAGTTGTGGCCACTGCTCCAGTTTTAGTGTCGTCTGCGAATTTGATCAGCAGACTGTTCACCCCTTCTTCCATGTCGTTAATGAAAAGATTAAACAGGATCGGCCCCAGGACAGAGCCCTGGAGGACCCCGCTTGTCACTGGCCACCATCCTGATGATTCCCCACTAATGGTTACCTTCTGCTTTCAGTCAGTCAACCATGCCCTAATCCACCGGAAAGTGCTTTGGTGTATCCCAAAACTCCTCAGTTTCTCCACCAGGATATCATGGGGCACTTTGTCAAAGGCCTTGCTGAAATCCAGGTATACCACATCCACAGTATCCCCTCCATCTAGCCATCTCAAAACCTTGTCATAGAATTCCTCAAGGTTTGTCTGGCAGGACCTGTTTTTGCAGAAGCCATGTTGTGTGGCTGTCAGCCTCCCTTCCCTATCTAGCATCACTAGATCTCTCTCTGTTATGAGCCTTTCCATTGTTTTTCCTACAATGGACATAAGGCTAACAGGTCTGTAATTCCCCATGTCCCTTCTACTACCCTTTTTGAAAACTGGGACCACTGATGCCACCCTCCAGTCCTCTGGAACTTCACCTGTTCTCCAAGAGGCATCAAAAATGGAGGCCAGTGGGCGTGAGAGAACCCCTGCCAACTCTCGAAGTACTCTCGGGTGTAACCCATCAGGGCCTGGCGCCTTTGTAATGTCCAATCCCCTGAGGAGACCCTCGACTTCAAGGGGGGGGGTGACTCTAATCTGTGCCCCTAAGTCCCCAGCCTCATCTAATCTCCTATGCGGATATCCCCCGTCCTGCTTTGGGGAGAACACAGAGGCAAAATAATAATTTAGCATCTGTGCCTGTTCCCTCATATCAGTCACTGGATCTCCTTCCTCCTTATTTAGCGGTCCCACCACTTGTATCCCTCTTGCTATTTACATGCTGATAGAAGCCCTTTTTGTTGCTCTTGATATTCTTGGCAAGTCTCAGCTCGTAATCAGCCTTAGCCTTGCAAAGAATCCTTCTGCATCGGGCCTCCTCCTCCCAGTATACCCTTTTGTCTATTTGCCCCAGTACCCATTTCCTACGGAGGTTCCTCTTTCGTCTAATCCCTCTAACCACCACCTTTCGCATCCATGGCGGCACTCTCCTCCGCCTCCCCACCTTACTAACTAGAGGTATCGTCAAGGCTTGCGCCTCCAAAACCTCCCTTTTGAGTGCCATCCACCCCTCCTCAACTCACTTGCCTTCCAGTAACCTATCCCAGGAGACTTTCCCCAGTCTGGCCTTCAGTTGGTCAAAGTTGGCCCTCTTGAAGTCCCAGCTTCTAGTGCTCGACCTGCTGCATGTCCCCAGTCCCCTGATCTCAAAGCAAAGGATGGAGTGATCACTCATATCCAGAGCTCCCCTAATCTGTACTTCATCTATCAGCTTCTCCCTATTGGTCAAGACCAAGTCAAGGATGTTTCCCCCCCTCGTTGCCTCTTGGACCCTCTGTGTGAAAAACTCTCCCTCTATAGCTTCTAGGAAGCGACGTGACCTGGCTGTCACCGCCAAGTGAGTCTCCCAAGTAATATCTGGGAGACTGAAATCTCCCATAATTACTGTGTCTCTCCCCCGAGATATCCTTAGAATCTGGCTTGTCAGGACATCATCCAGGGTCTCAAGGTGACCTGGAGGGCGATAACATATCCCCACTGTCAGGTCTCTTTCCCTGTCAAAACCCCTAAGTTTCACCCAGACTGCCTCTACCAAATCCTCATCTGTGCTGCATTCTGTCTCACTGCATCCTATCCCTTCCCTGACGTATAAAACCACGTCCCCACCCCTCTTTCCCTTCCTGTCCTTCCTAAAAAGGTGATACCCTTCTGTGTTCACATTCCAGACTTGCCTTTCATCCCACCAAGTTTCTGTGATTCCCACCAGATCATACCCTCCTATTCCCAGGAGAGCTTTAAGCTCTTCCTGCTTATTACCCATGCTCCTAGCATTAGGGTACATGCACCTCAACTCCGTCCCACTGCTTCCTTTCCTTGGAGCTCCCAGCTTCCTCCTTCCTCCCATCCTCCCTGATACCTGGCCCCTCTCTGTAGGAGTCCTGTCAGTCCCTGCAGTACCTCTAAAACCCTGCTCCCAGAGCCCTCATCCTCCCCCCACTCTTGTCCAGTGCAGACATGTTTCTGGGGGGCCTGAACCCCCCCCCCGGCTCAGTTTAAAGTCTTCTGGACGAAGCTCGCTAGAACATCTCCAAAGGACCTTTTCCCCATCCTCGTGAGGTGTAACCCGTCTCTTGCCAGAAGTCCATTGGCAAGAAACCGAGTGCCGTGGTCGAGGAACCCGAAGCGTTCCTTCTGGCACCACACCCTAAGCCAGTCGTCCACCTCGGAGACCCTCCTGTCCCTTCCTGGCCCAAATCCCCGGACTGGTAAGATTGACGAGAAGGCCACTTGGGCCTTCAGCTCCCTGAGTTTCTTCCCCAAGGCCTCGAAGTCCCTGGTGGTCCCAACCACACCCTGCCTGGCCACATCGTTTGTGCCCACATGGATCACCAGGAGCGGCTGATGACCGCCAGAGCGAACAAGACGCTCCACTCTGTCCTTCACATGCCGGATGCGTGCGCCCGGCAGGCAGCAAACCTCCCTTGTCTCCAGGTTGGGGATTTCCCTCCTATCCCTCACCACCAAGATTACCTGGCCAAAGCAAGGAAACAGACTATGCAATGACATAAGCAAGTTTTAGTAACTGTTCTGAAGTTAGAGGTGGGGAGCTTAACAAAATATCCTGACACAGTTCCATCCTTCAAGGCCAAATTAGATTTGAGGCAGGGAGAACGGTGAATAGTCTTCCACTGTGTTACTGTGGTATGTTTTTAACCAAAATATGGTGGGGGGTGGGGGGAACACTACAAATTCAGTTGAAACAGCAGGGGTTTTCTCATCCCAGCATTTTGGAGAGGGAAAACAGCCAACAGGAAAAGGACTAAGCTCCCTGCTAATCACATTTACTGCCTCTTTCCTATCATTCTCAAATGGCTGTTCAGTTTAAAAAATGAGTACAAATGGGCAGGCTCAAGAGACGGCTCAAGACACCATGGGGAACCGAGCAGTGGCCAACAGAACTCACAGGCTAGCAGGCTGAGCAGGTAGGTGAGTGTCTTGGAAGCACTGGCCAGGCCTGTACGTCTTCACGTGAGAACCGGGCCAGCATGAATTTACATCTGAAAACACAGAAGGGCCACAGGCTACTTAGGATGGAGAAGGCAGGGCTGCTAGTAACCTTAAGCAATTTCAGAATGCGGAGTTAGTGGAGAAATGGAAACGTGTGTTTCCTTGCCTACTTCAAAATGGAGCAAGCCAGCCCTGCTGCCTTGGGGGCCTTACTGCCCCTTCTACGTGAGCTCTGGCAGCACCCCTGGACGGGGAGAGCACTGAGGCACCACCACGGCGCGTACGCCCTCGTCCTCAGCACGCTTATCGAAATGACGCGGGAGATGCAGCCCACGCAGGCGGATGCGGGCGCCTCTTCCGTCCGCCCCCAGCTACACGTGCTCATGCGCCCTTTCCCAGTCCAGAGCGCAGGAAGCAACGCGCGTGAGTCACAGCCATTTCCTCCGCCGCGGAAAATCCCCACAGCATTCCTCAGGATTGTCCGCTCCCTTCCCTCTCGAAACGAGCGGGAGGGAGCCAAGCAGGCTGCTCTTCTCTATGCTGCTATGAGCTGCTATGAGCACAAGAAAAGGCGGACGGAAGACAGGGGCCTTTTCCTGCGGAGGTAGCTCGCCCCGGCTGCTAGCACGCCCCCCGCAGGGCTGCCTCCGGCGCTGCGCGGCAGCGACGGCGGCGCGGCTCCGTTAGTGCCGACTGCTGGCGGATGCGGGGCGCGGACTGGGTGACACCGGACCGAGGCACTTCTTCATTCGGTCTAGCAGAACCGGGGAGCCGCTTGGCCCCGCTGACGCCTGCGGGGGACACCGAGGAAGGCGCAAGTCTGCGAGGGATCGAGCGCTGGCAGCTCATGGAAGGAAGCAGGCCGAGGTCGTGGGTAAGCAGCCAGCCGCCGTCCCGAAGGAAAGCGGCTTCGTCTTCCGTTTGCCTTGCATCGGATGCTGCGATGCGAGGGTGCGACCCTCCAGTGGCTTTGCTGCCTCGGATTTCCCCCAGGAGGAGCTGGTCCTAAATCTTGCCGTGGAACTTTGGATGTGGTTTGCGGTGGAGGGTGATCACCCGCTCAGTGGAGGGTGATCGACCTGCTCGGTCTGTGTGCCTGGGGCACGCGTATGTGCGTGTGTGAAAGGAGGTGATAAGATGCCTGGAGCAAAAGGAGAGGTCCGGTGGGACTGGGGCCATGTTTCCGCCAGTTTCTTTGCGCCAGTTATTTTTTCCTAGGCTGGAAGGCATTCGATGCAGTTAGTTCAAAATATCCGATCCCTGATGAATGGAGCAATGCAGGAATGGCAGCTAAAGGAGAATGTGTGGGCTTTAAAAAATTACCCTAATACAAGAGTGAGGAATTGTGTTGGGCAGGGGAACCCAGCTGAACTCCACTTACCCTTCTGTATATTGAATGTCAGCGACCCAGCAAAACTAGGGAAAGCCTAGCCTGGCACAGCTGGAACCGGTTAGGGGCATCTTGCAGTGGATTAAACATTTAGTACTGAAGATGCAACTCAAATACTTTTGCCACCTAATGAGAAGGAAGGACTCACTGGAGAAGACCCTAATGCTGGCAACAATAGATGGCAAAAGAAGAAGGGGACGGCAGAGGATGAGGTGGCTGGATGGAGTCACTGAAGCAGTTGGTGTGAGCATAAGTGGACTCCCGGGGATGGTGGAGGACAGGAAGGCCTGGAGGAATGTTGTCCATGGGGTCGCGATGGGTCGGACACGACTTCGTGACTAACAACAACAACAACAGTACTCTGCTTGCCCTCCGGATTGGGAAGAGGAGAGGGGCTTTAAGGGGACTCCTCACTGCAGGAATTCTCCCTGGTGCACAGATCCCTCCCAGCTGGGAAACAGGAGAGCCAAGATTCCGCTGCTGCTGTCCTCCACCCCTCTTGGAGACAAAACCTCTCCAGGCCCTATGGGGCCCTGGGCTGTTTGTTTCCTGACTCTGCTATTTTGAGTACATTGTTAGTTAGCAAGTCTGTAGTCAGCCAAAAGGTGCACAAATGGGGGGTGGGGGGTTCCATCTGGTTTGCAGGCCATTTAAAGACAAAAGAATAAATCCTGCAAGACTAATCTGATTCCATATTTTGATTGGGCAACCACCCTGTTGGACTGTGGACATAATTTATCTTGACTTCAGCAAGGTTTTTGACAAAGTGCTCCATGATATGCTGATTAGTAAGCTACCTAAAAGTGGGCTAGATGGAATAACTACCATGGATCCACAGTTGGCTACAGAATTGAACTCAAAGAGTGCTTAACAATAGCACCTTCTCAAACTAGGGAGAGATATCAAGTGGGGTACCTCAAGTTTCAGTCCTGGGCCTAGTGCTCTGCAACATTTTTATTAATTATGTGAATGAAGAAGTGCAGGGTATGCTTATAAAATTTGCAGATAACAGAAAATTGAGGGGAATAACTAAGTGCCCCTGAAGACAGAAACAAAATTCAAAGTAATCTTGATATGTTGTAGTGCTGGCCTAGAAACAAGAGAATGGAATTTAGCAGGGACTAATGAAGAATTCTGCACCAGGGAAAAATAAAACAAATAAATAATTACAAGATGGAGGATGCTCGGCTCAGTGTTACAAGTCAGGAGATTCCTTCCAAATCCTATGAAGTACTAGCTCCCCTCCACTCACCACTGGTTAGACCTCCTCTTTCATCTGCAGTTCTGCATCCAGTTCTGGGTACTACATTTTAGGAAAGATACAGACAACCTGGACAAGGGTCAGAGGAGGGCAAGATGATGAGGGGAGCAGAAACAAAGCCCTACAAGGTGACCCTTGAAAGAATAAGTGTTGTATTGTCCTACCAGTCAGGAAAATTTTCCTGATATCTAGCCAGAATTCCTCCTTTCCTGTGATTTGAGCCCATTATTCTGTGTCTTGCACTCTGGGATGATTGCAAAGAGATCCTGTCCTTCCTTTCTGTGACAGCCTTTCAAGTAACTTGAAATGAGATTTTATATCTCTTCTCCGTCTTCTCTTCTGAAGGCTAAAACTTGAAACCTCCTCTTCCCATTTTATTTTCAAAAGCCTTTGACAATCACCTGGCTGAGTAGTTTGGTCAAGCCTTTTTGCAGGGTGGTGGTGGTAGGGGACTTTTCACAGCTATCTGGCTGAAAGCATTGAGTCTGCCCCAGCTTTGAGGCGCCTTGAGACCAGAAGAGCACAAGAGGCTGCAGTCGATTCTGTGAAGGGTTTACAGTTTCAAAAAGGAAAATAATTTTCTGACTTGGTCTCCTTAATCATTGTTAAGCATTACATCTTAATGGCTGCATTTGCACAGAATGCTAAGCTTAGCTGAATGTTAGTGTGCAAGAGCCATTGGCTTCTTCTTGGCTTTTCCTGTTAACAACACCAAGTAAACAACCCAGAAATGTTTAGCTTGCTCTGAGAACCTGGAAATCTTGTGTTGTTCCTGTTAGAAACCAGGATTATAAACACAATTTGTTTTTTGTTTCAAATTTTTGGCTTGTCTGGTAGCAACAAACCATGATACTAGGCTTGGACAATATGAAAGCAAAACAACATAAAATTTTTAGTTTATTTAACAAATTTAACAAGTTAGTTGTTTAGCTAGTGAAATTGGCAGAAGGAGGTGGGGAGTGTGAACAGATAATATGCACCAGCTTGATGCTCATTCACAGTAAGCCAGAAGACTGACTTACCATTCTATGTAATAAATAAATAAATAAATAAATAAAAATGTGAATGTGGCTAACAATTAACATCCTTGTTAAGACTGACTAGCAACAACAAGTGTGCTTTTTAAGTGAAACTGCAAACCATAGTTTAAATTGGCCATGGTAATGTTAACCATGGTCAGGACTGCTTATTCACCTCTCTCGCCTCTCTTATTGTGAAATGACAAGTACTGCGAACTCATTATTGTTTTTTTAATATCCCACTTTTGCTCTAAAGGACTCGTGGTTCTCCTTTCCTCCACCCATTTTGTCTTGAGAACAATTCTGTAAAGTAGATTGGGCTGAGAACTGATGATTGGTCTACAGCCACCCAGTGGGTTTCATGGCTGAGCAGAATTTTGATCCAGAGTCCTAGTCCACACTATTGCAAAGTTTGCTGTACTTCTGGGATCTTAAGCAGAGTTAAGCTCAAAAAGTTAATCCTGGTAATCTGCAGAGACAGCCTTCTCTACGGAAGCCACCTACTTTTAAGAAGCACTTTGCAGCACAAGGAGGCAACCAGTTCCTCTTTCAAAATGATACCATGTTAGGTGTCTTGCTAGGACACAGCATGAGAGCCATGGGTGGACGTCTCTGCACATAGCACATCCACGCACATACCCTGGGCATGGCTCATCTCTAGTAAAAATGCTTTGTTTTGCAGCAGGCACAAAAAGGATGCACGTTACCTCTGCAGAACAGGAAATGAGAAAGCTGAGCCTCAGTGGCTTCTAGAAGCAATGTGTGACTATCAAGGTTACCCAGAAATAGTGAACTCCTGCTTAAGGGAACAAAGAATGGACGGAAGTGGTGAATGCACACATCATGGGCCCCTGCAGGCGCTGCATACCTATGCACATCGCCAGCAGCTCTCCTGTGGCAGAGCCATGGCACCCACCAGCAATTTTGGGACTCTATAAAGCTTTATTTCATGTTTTACTATACATGATTTAAACTGTAATAATTTTGATTTAATTTAGCACCTCCGAGGCTCAGTACTTTTCCACTGCATTATTCCAGCATGAATGTATATTTGAGGTACACTTGGTGAGCTATTGGCACTGAATTCAGTGCTGTCGGTGGCTTCCTACTACCCATCTTTTGCTGCCTTTTAATGCAGGGCACAACTGGAACCTTGAGGTGCAGGTGGAATGCAGCATGGCTACTGCTTCTGGCATTAATGGCCTTGGGACTGAAAGAAGGTAAGGAATCCATGCCTGTCCCCTCTCTCCAACAGACCTGTCTCCAAAATTCCTCAGCAGAGCCCTTCACAATTGTGTCCCCATCCTCTCCAGTCTGTGCACTCCTGCAGCTGCATGGGAATGGCGTCTGTGTGGCTCTCCCATTTGGCAGGGTATTTGTATGGCCACTGCAACCACATGGCTTTTTCACCAGGGAGTAACAGGTTTTAACTGACCAAGCCAGACAGTGAGGTCGCCACTTCCCCCCATTCTCCCAGCGAGAGGAGCGTGCTGACTTGAGTGCCTTGACTTGAAGGCCCCGCCATGTACCTTCAAAAAAAAATCAAACCATAATGGTGGACATTATGGAGGCTTGGAGGCTGCCTTTGTAGCTGTGACCTGAGTGCTTAATTCATCCTAAGGCTTAGCCCCATTGGGCCTGTTTTCAAAACCAGGTTGAAAAACGGAATATAGGCGGTAGTACGAAGAGCTCCAATTGCTGCTGGCTCTGTCCAATTGCCTGCTACTGCCTACCTGTTTACAGGCCTCAGTCATGGGCTGTGACTATCGTCTTGTGCTTATGATAATGATGCCTCTGTCACCATTTGGCCAAGTTGGTGTCATTTCACTGAAAATGAACAAAGCTGTCAGCACTGGAATGCTCTCCATCCATCTTTTTGAAGGGGAGGGGAGGGGAGGGGAGGGGAGGGGAGGTTGTTTGTTTGGCCTGGGTTAAAAGACATGTAGATTGTGGAATAAAGTGATTGCATGGGGCAGGCCCAGGACTAGAAAGCTGCACTAAAATAGGGCCCACAAAGCTAATGGGTGGAGAGCCCAGAGGCAAGGCAGCTGAAGGAAGAGGGAAGAGAAGACCATGGACCAGAGGGAGCTGGTGGAAAGATATGAGGAAAAGTGTCAGGGGCAACACTCAAGAAAAGCTAGCAAGCACGGAGACTGTATGGGAATATCGCCCGCAGATTTTAAGGACAGAAGAGGCAGCAAATTGGATTGTCTAGTGTGCTAGTGTTTCCACTTGCAATAAACAACCTCCAGTCAATTCAGTCAAAGGTTGTGAGTATGACCTGTGAACCTGGACTGATAGCTTGTTTAAGGGCTAAAGAAGTTCGTTAGTTAACTCAACTACAGCTGCTTACCAGTGGATTAACTACTGCTAACCATTACGTTGGTCTGAGTTTGCACGTCATTCTAGGAAACTGGTTGGATCAATCAGACAATGGCTGTACTCCAGTCTCCTGGCTGTGCTGCCTGGGTATGATGGGAATGGAAGTCCAAAGTCTCTGCAGGGCATCTAAAGCTGATGAAGTTGTTAGCCTGCAGATCCTCTCATCCCTCACTGTTGTCTGTGTGGGCAGGCATTGGTGGGATCTGAAGGCTGACAGCATCCAGAGAATCCAGGTGCTTCTCAGTCCCTGCACTAGACCTTGGTTCAGGTGGGGAAGGATTTCAGGGAACTGCCAAAACGATGGCAGAAGCAGAGAACCAGCCTGTTCTCCACCTTGTCCAACCCTGCTGTACGCTCTTCTGGGGTCCCCTCAGTCAGTTCCTGACTGCAGCACACAGTTGATCGCAGGGATGGCACACCCTTTGCGTGCTGTGCTGGGTACTGCCTTGAGATAAGAGTAAGAGGTGGTAGGATTGGGCTGGGCTGTTGTGCTGTGGTTGAAAGATATGAGCTAGAGTGCCTTGCTTCAAACCTCATCCCCGTGTATCACATTTTGAACCAAGAAACTCTGGCTCTGGCCCTGGCCCTGGCTCTGGCTCTGGCTCTGACCAACATCGACTCACTTGGTGACCAGTATCTCTCAGTGTTGGCCCTTCCCCCTTCTATGTGGGTGAAAACAGTGGTCTGACTTTGCAAGGCTGTTATGGAAAGTGAAGTATGGCAGCATTGTTTTCTGTTCAACGATGGTCCCTTCCCATGGATTTTGATAATAGACTGGCTACAATCATTCTGACTGGGACCCTGTCTCTGTTACAGATGATCCAGATGTCGCTGTGAATCTGCAATGTTATTGGTCAAAAGTGCCCAGCGTTATGAACTGCAGCTGGTCCATTCGGGACCTTCCAGGTGTTCACACCATCTGTATACTCCACTACGAGAGCCTAAAATTGTAAGCCAAGTACCTCTGCTACTGAACCCTGTGTAGAGCCAGACTCAGAAACCCTGGGGATTTGGGTTGAACAGAAGGTGGACTTTCCAGGTGTCGGTCAGTCAGTTGCTTCAGTCTTAAGGGTTTATATGTGCCTGTCATTCTTGAGTGCTTTGCTGGAGTGCCAACAACATATTGCCACCTGCCCTTTGTTTTGGCCACACTGATCTCCAGTATCAGCAGCAGTGGGAAGCCCATCTCCTGTATGAGGAAATTGGTGTCAGGGGTAAAATTGAGGGGTGCTGGTGTCAGAGCGGTTGTGCTCAGTGGGCATGCAGCTTCTGGACTGCAAATTGTGCATTCCTGCCTTAGGCAGTCTAAACTCACAAAGACTAAACTCAAAATACAATTAAACATGCAAAGTACAATATGTCAATACATTCATTTCTGTATAAATGAATGTGTATGCACTGTTCTGATCTTGCTACAGAGCATTTGCAGAATGTAAGGTTTTGTGGGAAAGTTTAATATGGAATAGCATGCTAAGTCATGAGTTGTTGTTGTTGTTGTTATTATTATTATTATTATAACATTTCTATGCCGCCCCTTGCCAAAACCTCGGGGCGGCTTACAACACAATAAAATACATTGAAATACAATAGTACATAATAAATTACCATTAAATAAAAAAATACAAAAAATACCTTGATTTACAAATATCAAATTAAAATTATCAGTATAAAATAAGTAAATAAAAATATAGGAGGAGAAAGAGAAGGAAGAAGAAGTTGCCCTGGCCAGATCATATGTTTTAACAATTAAAATGATGTTTAAATAAAAAGGTCTTTACCTGGCGCTGAAAAACCAGTAACGACGGTGCCAGGCGGACCTCTTTGGGGAGTGAATTCCGTAGGTTGGGTTCCACCGCAGAGAAAGCCTTCCTCCGAGTACTTACTCTCCTAATTTCTTTCATGGAGGGTTCCCGGAGAAGGGACTCTCCCGCAGATCTCAAAGGGCGGTCGGGCATATACGGACATAAGCGCTCATTCAGGTAGCCAGGACCCAAGCCGTTTAGGGCTTTATAGGTCATAATCAACACCTTGAATTGGGCCCGGGCTTCAATGGGAAGCCAGTGAAGCTGACGGAGGACTGGAGTCATGTGAGCATAACGCCCCGTCCCCGTCAGCAACCTGGCAGCTCTATTTTGCACCAATTGAAGTGTTCGGACTGTCTTCAGATATAGATATATAATGCAGATATATAATTAGGGAGCAGCAAATGTTTGGTTTTGATTTATGTAAGCTGCTATGATTTTTTAAAATTTCTCATTCTCTCTCTCTCTCTCTCTCTAGCCATCCTAAACAGAGTTATTCAGAGAAGTCTCAGAGTGAAGAGAACTGGTTGCTGATTGCACGAAACAAGCTGAGGAAGGGCGACACGTACAGCATCTGGTTGGAAGTTCAAACTGCAGGGAGGACTGTCACGTCCAATAAAATAACTGTCAGCCTGGATGAGATCGGTTAGCAAAAACAGGTGCAGAGGGTTTGGAAGAGGCTCTAGACCAGCCTTTCCCAATCTGGTGCCCACCAAATATTTTGAACTTCAGCTTCCAGCTCCAGCCAGCATGGCCAATGGTTAGGCATGCTGGGAATTGTAGTCAAAAGCATCTGGCAGTCATCAGTTTCAGAAAGGCTGATCTAGACAACCTGGTGGATAAGTATTAAGGACTCCTTCTCCTTAATCTGAAAGAGCCCTGGCCCACTTGCTGTCATACCTCTGCAGGCCCACGTTTCCACTCCTAGCTAGAGGAGGCAGTTAGTGACTGCCTCCAAGTGGTACCAGGCACAGCTTTTCATGCCTAAAAGTCTCTTCTCTATTTTGCCTCTTCCAGTGAAACCCCCTCCACCAGATGTGGACCTCGTGGACCCCACGGAGTGTGATTCCTCTGGGGCTAGAATAACCTGGAAGACGCCTAATTCATCTGAACCTCTCACCTGTGCCCTTCGGTACAAGGTCTCCAAAGACCAAGACTGGACCTATGTGAGTCTAAAAGTGCATGTGTGTGCTCGCGCGCATCCATAAACATGCACACACACACTTTCTGTGTCTGACTTCCCTCCCATCCCCACCTGTTCTCAGGCTTGTCACATGAGCAATTTCTGGCTGGATAGATCTGATACTGTTAAGGCCATTTTGTGTCTTCCACCAAGAGACTCAATGGGTTGAGGACATGCTCAGCAGGGAGCTATAACCCATTCTGGCTCTCTGACTAGGGCGCCTCTGTGAGACGCATGTTTTCAGACATCTGCCCATTGTGCTGCCCAGGGGGAGTGTCCCTTGAGCCTGTGGTGCTCTGTATTGGGGTGGGAGCCAAATTCCCAGGGGAAGTTAAGCAACACACTGTGCAAGCCTGTGCATGTTTATTGAGCAATCAGCCCCACTGACTTTGCTGAGACATACATGCAGGTAAATGTCCATAGGCCCTGTAATGCCTGTTGGCATTCAGATGGATTCTTATGGAGATGCTTTGTTGGACTAGGTTTGTGCATATGTGTGTGTGGAGGGTTGCCTGGTTTGTGAGCTGTTTGATTTTTTGAAATGCCTTATTTAAAGGTCATATATACAAAAATAATAGTTATGTCTATTTTCCTCCCCAGCTGCATCAGGATGAGGTAGGCCAGGAGGGCCACTACCTTGAGAACTTGAAGCCATTCACGTCCTATGAGGTGCAGGCACGATGCTTCCAAAACGAAGGTTTTTGGAGTGAATGGAGCTCTGCCCGAACCTTCCGAACTCTTGAGGCTGGTAGGTACCATCATGGAGGAAGCAGAAACTCATTTTCTGGATGCAGTAGCATCACAGCCGAAGCCTGGTCAATGTCTCATTCACATCTTACATTTTATTTATTTATTTATATTTATATTTATATTATTTATTTTTCGATTTATATCCTGCCTTTTTCCTACAAAGGGCTCAAGGCAGCTTACATCTCCTCCTCCATCATATCCCCACAACAACAACAACCCTGTGAGGTAGGTTGGGCTGAGAGTCTGTGACTGGCCCAAAGTCACCCAGTTGGCTCCATGGCTGAGTGGGGACTAGAACCCAGATCGTCTGAGTCCCAGTGCCATGCTCTTAACCACTGCACCACACTGGCTGACATTTTAAGATGTCTGCCGGACAATCTTGGGTGTACAGCTACAAGATGTAATGTGTGAAGAGTCTGAGTTTTCAGAATGCCTTGTGTAGGCTTCCATGATTCTGTTTCCTCTGTTTGGAAGAAGCTGGCCCTGACAGGTCAGAACCGTAGCCTCGGAGCCTCATCCTCTGGGTTCCATTCCACCCTTTGTTCTCTCTGAAATGCAAAGTAGTGGTGGTGGTGATAGTCTTGCCCCTATTTTTTAATTTTTATTGTTTTCTTAAAATAGATAAGATACAGAAATAAGAAGAATGTGAAATAAAATTGCCAAGGGATTTTAAACAAGTAAAGCAATGCATTCATAACCTGCATATTTCCAGGGAGACCAGAAATGTCTATCTTTCTGTCAATCAGTACTCTGCTGAAGCTCAAAAAAGAATAACTATAGTTCTCTGTACTGACAAATTTTCCATTCACTTCAAATCAATTATAAATCACCAACAATATTTTAACGCACTTCCTTTTATATCATTTAAATTATACTGGATATAATAGAATTTCCATTTTTCATTAAATTCTTAAATCGGTCTTCTGTTCACATAATTAGTTAATTTTGCCATCACTGCATTTGTGGTACATAGCAGTGAATCCATCCAGACTGGGTACTTTATCTTTTTTTAATTTTCTGATAGCTTGTGATAGTTCTTGAATAGTAATAGTATCGTTCAGTACTTTCCTCTGCTCAGAGGTAAATTTTTCAAGACATGTTTCTTCTATGTACTGCTCCATTCTGTCTTCTGAAGTTAGTGTTTTTATATAAGTATGAAAAAACTAGTGAACTGGTCATGAATTTCCTTTTCAACATATGTAATTTCATTATCTTTTTTCACCCCTGTTACAGATCTTCTTTCCATTTCTGTATTAAGACAATATGCTATGTATCTTGCAGGTTTATTTGCATGTACAAAATGTTTTTGTTTTAAAAATCTCAACTTCTTTTGTGCATCTTCTGTCTCCATCATGCCTAGTTCATTTCTTAATTGTCTAAGTTCAGTTAAGTTTGATTTGTCTTGTACTCTTTATGGTGATCATATAATATTTGAATAAATTCCAGGAGCTTTTTAATTTTTCTCTCTTTTTTAGATGCTATTGCTAAAAAAAATCCTCTCATATATGCTTTACTGACTTCACATATCATTGCTGTAGAGACATCACTTGTATTATTTAGTCTAAAAAATTCTTCCTATTCTTTTTCCACCTTCAAAATACCTTGTGGTAAAAGATTATCATTCAGTCTTCATCTTCTTCCTCCGACTTGTTCTTTCACCAGATTATGATCAGAAAGTATCTTGGGCTGGATCTATACAGCCTCTAAGTTGACAGTTAAGTTTTTGGATATCCAGCACATACCAATTCTTGAGTATGCCTGATGTCTGTCAGAGAAAAAAGTATGGTATCGGAGTTCTTGCATCTTCATGCTTCTTCCAGGTGTAACATTTCCATATGCAGTGGTACCTTGGCTCACGAACTTAATCTGTTCCAGGACTCTGGTCGTGAGCCAAATTGGTCATGAGCCAAGTTAAATTTCCCCAGAAGGTTCAATGTAAATAAGGTTAATCCGTTCTGTAATCATTTTTTAAATCAGAAAAACGTTAAGCAAAGTGACAACAACAAAAATCACGGCCATCTCCCCGCCCCCTCCCAGCATGACCGAGATCGCGCCTGGCATCCCTGCACATGCCTGGCATCCCTGCAGACGCCCGTCATCCTGGCGCGCTGGGGAGTGTGGGGGGAGACGGGCGTGATCATGGGCGCACTGGGGGAGGGAGAGTTGGGCGCAAACGGTGCGCTGGGGTTGGGGAGATGGCTGCGATTGCAGTTCCGTTCGTGCAGGGAAGGTGTGCCTGACCAGAGGTGTGCTCCTGCGGGAAAGACAGGCGGAATCTCGGCCATCTCCCCCACGGCTCTGCTTTGCTGCTCGCGTCTTTCCTGCAGCAGCGCGCCTCTGATCACCATGCCTTCCCTGCACGAATGGAACTGCGATCAGTGATCAGAGGATCAGAGCTGCACTCAAGATGGGTGCAGCAAAGCAGAGCCACGAATCTGCTTGTCATTCGTGCAGCCGCATGCCTCTGATCACGAATCGCAGTTGCTTTCATGCAGGGAAGGCATGGTGATCGGAGGCACGCGGCTGCAGGAAAGACGGGAGCAGCAAAGCAGAGCCGCGAATCCACTTGTCTTTAGTGCAGCCATGCACCTCTGATCACGGACGCCTTCCCTGCACAAAAGCAACTGCGCGGCTACATGAATGACAAGCAGATTCGCAGCTCTGCGTTGCAGCACCCGTCTTTAGTGCTGCAGCATGTCTCTGATCACAGACGCCTTCCCTCCACGAATGGAACTGGGATCGTGGCCATCTCCCCACTGGGGGGAAGGGGAGATGGCTGCGATCTTGGTCGCCACACAAAGCGGTGTCCGTGACCCAAGTCAAAATTTTTCAGTAGTTTTGTTCATGACCCGATTTGTTCATGAACCAAGGCGTTCGTGAGGTGAGGTACCACTGTAGTTAAAAACATTTTCAGGGAATTTGCTCCAGTTTTTTCCCTGTTCGTTGAGCAGGAGAGCACCTGAGATGGTCCAGCAGCTCTGTTATGTCTCGCTAACCACCTGGTGTGTCTCCACTACCTTCAGCTCCACTGGGTCAGGTCGATGTGTGGCAAGCAGTTGACGCCTCGGACAGTCAGAAACGGCTCCTGCTGTGGAAGGTAAGATACACTCTGCTGGCCTGCTCCTTCCATGCGCTGCTGTCAGTTCTGAAGCCTGGGTGCAACTCCTGGTGGTGGTGAACAGCGCGATTCTCCTGCAAGTATCTGCAGGACCAGGAGCAGGTACCTGCAGATTCATGCAGGGGTTGGAGCCTGGCAATCATGCAGTACAGCTAGAAGCCCTGGCAGGCCCTTTACAAGGCTTTTCCACAGCGAAATGGGTCTTTGCAGTGGCTGTGTCATGCTGGTCTTGCTTCCTTTGACCATGCCATCACTCCTGCTTGCCTTCGGTCTGACAATCCTGGCTTTTTTCTGATTTCACCTTGCCAGGCTCCTTACTCCTTGTCCTTCCTGACCCTGCTCTTCCTTGCTGGCATCCACCTGCACTGTGTTTCTGGACTCTGCCTTCCTCTCTGCCCCTGCCTTCCTCTCTTACTGGTGCCTGACCATAACCTGCACCTGGACTCGCAGAGCCCTGGGGTTCCAGCCACAGCCACCGCCCGCCTGCACCACAGCACTCACAGCTGTTCTTGGGGTATAGACCCTACCCGTTTCCATGGGACTGTATCAGAATGTAGATGAAAACACTGTAGAGACAAGCTCATGATGATCTGAAGGCGCCCTGCTGGATCAGATCTGCCAAGTCCTCCTTTTCCTCCCGCTGCCCCTTACCGGTTCTTCCTGCTTGGAACAGCCTGGGCAGCATGGCTGCTGCAAGGCCCGATCGCAGAGGCCCCTGCAGCTTCTGTGCAGGCTTGTTTCCTGGGGACCCCATGATTTTCCAGAAGCTTACTGAGCTAGGTCCACTAGCTGAGAAGTGGGTGACCAGACCTATGGGTGAGAGAACAGATGGCACGGGTCACCCTTCTCCAACCTGGTGTTGGACTACCACTCCCAGCCTCCTGCTGCAAGATGATGGGATTGTAGTCAGACACACCTAGAGTATGCCATGTTGGTGGAGGGTGGTGGGCAAGTCTAGTGTTAATGGTTAAAGTATGTGTTAAGGTCAAAAGGACCCAGGGTTCCTCTCATTCTGCTGTCCTTAAGAAAACCCCGTTGCTGTTGCCGCTTATGTTTCACTTGCCAGCATTTAGCAGCAGCCATCACGACATTCTTACACTGAGGGAAAGTGCACCATGTTGCTCTTATAGTTGATATTTTTTCCTTGTGGTGCAGCTTGCTAAAAGTGAGGGACCCTCTGCCCAGTATCCAAGTAGTACCTCTGCTTGCAATGGCAGATGTGTACACGAATGAGGCCTGCCCTGAGAACCTGCTCAGGAGGGCAGTTCGTTTATGCCTGTGAGTCTGCAGGGTTTGCTCATTCTCTTCCCCCAGCCCCTCGTCTCGGGTCCTTTCTTATAAGCGCTTTCTTGACAGCAAGTGCCTTTGTCCACCAATCTTGTGCAGGCACTGGACTCAGAGGCAGCTCAGGGAAAAATACTCGATTACGAAGTGAGCTACCAGAACCATGGGCAAAACATCACCAAGGGCACGTGGCCTTGCTGCAGAGCTGTCCTCCCTTCCACTGCTGGCTATGCCTGGATCTCGGCACGCAACTCTGTGAAGCAGACGCAGGTGGCCAATCTCAGCCTGGAGCAATCAGGCAAGGGTTGATAAAGCGCGGCAAAGCTCTGCGGGGCTTCCTGCAGTGGCAGAGACGGTCCTTTTCTCTCATGAGCCACTGCCTACTTACAAGAGTGCTTCATTTCCCGTTGCCCGTTTTCTCCCCAGTTTTAAGAAAATATCCTTATATATGTTAAGCATATAATCGGGATGTGATCCACATGAGCTCACTCTGGGGATGCAAAAGGTTGTGGCTTCCACATAACTCAGTTTCTACATCATATGCAGATGCTTATATATAAATAAAGTTTTGATTTTTTTTAAATTAAAAAAAATGAAAACCCATCTGTCCTGCCCCGCTGCTCCTGAAGAGCCAGGCGAGGGTTTGTGAACATCCAGGACCTCTGGAATCCAGAGGAGCTTGGCTGATGGGAGTGCAGGAGGGTGTGGAAGAAGAGGAACCAGGCTTGCTTAAGGCCCCGGCAGTCCATAGCAGCCTTCTCCAACTTGGCATCTCCAGGCTGGAGATGAGGGCAGTGGTGGGCCAGCATGTCTTGCAGGCTTCCAGATGGAGCCGGCTAGTTTACAGTAAGCACCCTGGAGGTGGGGATTAAGGTTTGGGGCAAAAGGAGCTGGGGGGGGGGGGGTTAAGCAATGAATGATTGCAAAACATACTGAAATCCTGTTACTGCTAAGAGAAAGAGAGGTGATGAAGAATGACAGTATGCCATACCTCCTTAGGCTGGTGGTTTGTTTAGATTATCTGCATCTTGATAGGTTATCTTTCCTGCGTAGTTCTGGCCTTGAGGGTAGCTTGGTTTTGGTGGTTTGATTACAAATTGCCAGTCTTGCGGGAGAGGAGCAAGCAGATCTAGATCAGGGTCCTGGCATGGCAAGGACAGGCTTCAGTCCCGTGGACCCCGCTGTGCTTTTTCCTGGACCGGGGGCCTGCCTCTGCAGTTTGCCTTGACAAAAAGTCCCTTTGAAATAAATGGATGGCACATGTGTTGGGGATGGTGGTCAGAGCTCTGGGCAATGCTCTGTAAGGTGATAAACCATTTGGCCTTTTCCCAGCACTGCCTGGGCCAGAGGACGTCCAGGTGCAGGCTTTAGAAGACAGAGGTTTCCGTGTGACGTGGAAGCCTAGCGCAAGCCCTCTGTGGGTGCAGCCTGAGGAGTACGTGGTTGAGTGGAGAGAAGAGCTACCCAGCACGAATGAGGCGTTGGACTGGACACGCGTGCCTGGGAGCAGCGGCAGCACCTTGCTGATCGGTGAGGGGCAAAGCAGGGTGCAGCAGGGGGGCAGCCAAGAGAGGGAATCTGTAGGCCAGCCTCGAAGTGACATTAACTTTGCTCGTGCCATTCCTGTCCTTTTTACTTTCTTGCTGTGTGCCGGCATCCTGTCGAAGGTTGCCTTTCAGAGGAAGTTTCCGCTGGAGGCAGTGCAGGCTTTCTGTGGAATGCAGCCAAGCTGCTTTGCAACCACATGTTGTGTGGGGTCTGTGGCAGGAACGGAAAGGGTTCGAGTCCTCCCCCCACAGTCCCCAAAGGAGGGTCGTTCTTCATGACTGCTATCGGCGTGATACTCATTAAGCCCACACAGAGATGCTCTTAAGCATATTGTCTGAGGCAAGCCGTGCACTTCTCCTGCCAGTTTGTGCATGACATGGAAAAGGACTGTGGCAGCCTGCCCCCAGTAATGCCGGGGCCTTGATTCTCTGCATGCTTCCAGGGAAGGTTCTGTGCAGCGTGCCTTGCTTTCCGGTGGCAGCCCCTCCAAGTGGTTGTCAGTTCTTGTCTCTCCCACCCACCCTGCCTCCACAGGTCACTTTAAGCCGAAGCTGCCATATCTTGTGCGTGTTTATGCTCTGCATTCTCATGGGAACAGCGCTTCAGCCCCAACACGAGCCTACTTCAAGGAAGAAGGTATCCTCCTTGGGCACAGGGAAGGGGGAGGCATTGATGCATTTGGTGAGATCCCTTCACCTGTGTTTTAGACTTGTTTTAACAAGTGCGGTTAACATGAGGGAGGGATACCAGGGAGTGTTCAGGTGTAGTGTCCCTTCCAGCTGTATTTTGAAGTAATAAAATCCATGTGATCATCTCAGTCTCACCCAATTCCTCACATACGAGTATGTATCTGGACATTGCTCCTACTTCGAGGAAATGGGTATTCCTCGTTTTCCAGTGCTAAAGGACCAAAAATTCTGCTGCTTGCATGAAGATTCCATGCTAAATCATGGAATCATCTCCTTATTTAAGTCATCCTTTAAGCAATGCAACGTAGCTCCCTCTATTAGCAAAGGAAGTCTGCATTGTATAATCAGCTGTATACTGTGTGCCACATTTGCCTAGTAAAGCTGCATTTTAATACTGGAGCACTAGAAAGGAACAACTGTAAACCAAGGGAAAGACCTATTTCTTTGTTCTTCACTAGGCCCCCAAGGGCAAGGCAAGGACCAGGTAGCCATAGGGGACCCAAATAGCAAGTAGCACCATCATAGGGAGTACTGGCACCAGTGCCCAGAGCAGCCCAAATGAGGCCTCCCAGTAGAGAGCAGTGAGCTAGTGAGAGCAGCAGGTGAGGTGTGCTGTGCCTTCCTGAGCCTGGGATTCCGACCTAGGAGCTGGGTGGGTGGCAAGATGCAGCCAGGGGTCTGCTCCTGTTCCACAGTGGCCAGCCAGGTGCCCTAAAGAGAAGCTCGCAGGCAGGTCTTGAAAGCGGCTGCCACATTGCTGCAGTTGCTCCCCTGCGGCTGGTCCTTTGAGTCACGCTGCCTGGGAACTTGGGGCAGCATCTGGCCCTTGTGCCTTGTAGGCCTGGGGAGCTGCATCCTCTACAAATGCGTCCCAGCTTCTGTTTATAACTCCGAGTTAGCGTCCACTGCCACATCTTGTGGCAGAAAAAAACGACTTAACTCTGGGTTGTCTTTTGCCATGTTTATTCACAATTAGGTCTATTTTATGTATGTTTAGCTTTTATGAATAAATAAATGAGTCATTTAAGATACGTGCAGAAGCAAGCATTTCCATTTGCACTGTGCTGAAATGTATTTGTGGTAAAGAGCTTTAACTGTAGTTACTAAAAAGGACAGGTCTGGAAATGAAACCGCACTTTCACCATGTGCCACAGCACCCCACTGGGCTTCTCTTTTCTAGCACCATCAAACAGCCCTCAGGCACTAAGGGACAGAAGAATCTCCTCTGCAGTCTGTAATGTCTCCTGGGAGGAGATTCCCTTAGTGGATCGCAATGGGCACATAACCCACTACACGCTCTACTTGAAGCAACAGGACTCTGTGACCAGCAAGCTGCATAAGACCAGTAAGTGACATGCAAGCACAAGGGGCAATGGACAGCAGGAATGGCGATCCACAGACTCGCCGTCACTGCTGTGCGCAACCTTTATGGCTCCTGCCTCCTTTCCTCCCCCCCACCCCCCATCGCATGAAACGCATGCTGTGAAATCTGGATGGTGAGCGCTGACTGGTGTCCACCTCAGCTCAAACTCTCATTTCTGAATAGTAGTTGCAGCTACAGAGAAGAGCCACCAGTTCACGGACCTGACTCCTGGGACCACCTACCAGTTTTGCATGACTGGCTCCACCTCAGCTGGGGAAGGCCGGGCCAGCCCAGAGCATCACTTCCACATGCCAGGTAGGACAGGACGCTGGACTGCGTAAAGCAGGTGAGGCCTGTTGGCATGTGGACAGGAGGCATCATGGGCAGCCCTGGAGCAGGAGGGCTCTTGATGGTCCTGATGGGGCACTGTAACCGTAGAACAAGAGCTGGTGTCGGGAGCCCTGCAAGGCCACCCTGGCAGCTGCTCCAAGGCTTCTTGGTGGCTGGTGTGCACAGAAACAGACACCACCTCCACCAGAACCACATACTGGGAGATGCCTGCTATTGGGTTCAGGTCCATCTAATATCAAGAGTATGGGTGGCTTTTCTGCACAGAGCCTTGTTCTCCCCAGGTGCAGGATCTTTCCTCCATCTCCTTGGGGATGGGGCTTCAGTGGGGAGCTGGGCCACTGGGTGGTGAGGAGGGTAACCTTGGTGCTGTCCCTGTGATTTCTGGCAGGTGCCCATTGGCAGTACATCATGACAGTAACACTGGTGATGGGATGCCTGTTAATTATGGCTTCGGTCGTGGGGCTTATTAAGTACAGACGGTAGGTGATAAGGGGATGGGTGGGGTGGAGGGGGACCATGGACTGGTCATATAATGTCTCACCCAATTTCTGTGGTCCTCTCAGTTTCTGTGAGGCCTGGATCCTCCGGCCCCCAAGTTCTCTGGCAGCCCAGTGTAGAAACTCTCTCTTCTGTAGGGTCATTGGTGTCTGCCATAAGATTCTGGCTCAGTGTGGCTTGGGGAGAATTCCAGATCCTGGGCACAGTGCTGTTTTCCAGAAGACAGAGGGACAAAACATTGTGCTTGGCATGGTAAGAAGCGAGTGGGCTTTTTCTTTAAAAAAAATCACATTGCAAGAAGGATGCCTATTTGTGGGGTGTGGGAAGGCAGGCAGGCGAGGAGTATCTGGCTTCTGGAGACAGCGGGCTTGTCTGCCTGCCTGCCTTCACATTTGAGTGTTCCCAAGAAGAACTAGGGCCACCAATAGATGCTAGTTGGTTGAACAATGAATTGATCGTGTCATATTCTTCAATAAATGTGATTATTGCCCAGTCCCTTAAATCTGAATCCATGTTGTGTGTACACACACTGATATTTTCTTCTGTATATTAAAAGGGTATGGACCTTAAAAGGTCTTGATAGAAGTACCAGGATGTGAGTGTACCATACAGATGCTTCTGGGAGGAGGAAGGAGGGCAGGCTGCCCGCCCTTCCCTCTCTTCTGAAGCATTTGCTGCTGTTCTTTGCAAAAGTGGGAGTGGTTTTATCTGCTGGGTGGGAAGGCTCTAGCCCCTTCCTTGAGATGGTGCCCTCCTGGACTGCAACCTGTTGTAGTTCTTGCCAGTCAGCTGGTTTGGACTGGAGAGAACTCCCTTCTGCCACTGGAAACCGAGGCCTTACTCCAGTTCAGCAATTTTGCAAGGGTTGCAACCCATTTGCTAGCTGTGGAGGGCTCAGTTTCAGATAAGAGCCACAAGTCTTTCCAGGCAGCTACTGTTCAGTTGCCAAGGAGAAAGTTTCTGCCTGCTTCTTAGAGAGGAGACACTGCTCTGTGTAACCAGCCTGGGAGTAGAGCATTGATCAGTGATTCCAGTGGGAATTTTATGCAAACTACCAATTATTTCCCAAAAAATAAACTGATGTGAACACAGTGGGAGGTAGTAAGGACTCCATCCTCTGTATGTTTAGATAATCCTACAACATCCAGCACAGAGGTAGGACATGCTGGGTCTTGTAGCCCTTTTTCTGTCTAAACATGCTTAGGATTGCACCTTAATATAGTCTGTCTCAACATGAAGCATCCCTGTCCCACAAGTGGCCTCCAGTATTTTATGCTTTACCCCATTTTATTGCCATGTACCAGAAGCAAAGTGCTCTTGGTATTGCATCCCCTTCATTGTGGATGTGCTGATTTTAAAAGTGGCTTCCATTGTTTAATGGATTCTTTGATTTACTAGTTAAAGCAAATGATCCTAGTATGAACCATCAAAGGATAAAATCCTCAGTGAATGGAGCTTCCATTTGCTGGGCAGACTACAATGCTTCTATAATGTCTTATTTTTTTGCAAACCGTAATGAAGTTCATCCTGTTTTTGAACCTGCTCCTTTAAGAGCAGCCTATCAGAATAGAAGTCTAAAGTATCTTATAGACTTTAGAGCCTTAAGGTATTATAACACAGTACATGCATATTGCAGCATCATGCAGGCTTTATCAAATGCATAGCGGGCTCTCATCCATTAAAACAATTAAATATATGAATGTGGAAGAATGCAGCACTCTTAGTCTATTTTAAGGGTTGTTGTTGTGAGGTAGCCATGTAAGCTGCCTTGGCTGCTCACAAGAGGGGAAAAGAGCAGGACAGAAATGCAGTGGAATAATAAAAATAACAACAATAATAATTCCTGATGGTACTAGTAGAAAACATCACCACTCTTAATTTCTTAATGCTGGGTTGTTAAAGGCACAGGAACATGGGCACCAAAATAAATGAAGGGTGAAGTCCATCACATGATCTGCCTGGATCAAGGAACTGGCCAGGATTACGATGGGCTGGCAGAGCAAAGAGCTAAGACAGGCCTCTGTACAGAGGAACAGTTGCTCTTGCCTTAACTCTGCTGCCTGGGGAGACTGGCTTTCAGGTGACCAGTCCCCATAGAGTCACTCACCAGGAGCAAATCCCTCCAGCATTCTGGTGAACGTGGCACCTGCCAACACCACACAGATCCCCTCCCAAGAGGTAAGAAGCAACCGGAGTCCCCAGATACTGGCTGGCCAGTAAACTGGGCCAATTTTTGTGGATCCCTGTCAGTGAGGAAGGCCAGTCCATCTTTGGCCCCTCGATACTCAAAAGCCTTGCTAAGCATTACCTGTGGCAATCCTAGGGATGCCTTGCTGCCTGTTGAGCTGCTTGTCATGAAGATGTGGAGTCCAATTATTGTCAGTTTGTGGGCTACTGAGCCTCCCTGTTTCTCCGCTGCATTTCTTGCAGAATATCCCGAGCCTGAGCTCAGCCCCATACTCAGAAGGGATGGACTTTATTGAGATAAAGGAGTCAACACTGCCACTGACGACAACCCCTGCTCCACCGATGTTCAGCGGCTATGAAAAGCGCTTCATGCCTACTCAGGAGGAGTTGCAGAAGCTGGCTTGAGCGGGAAAAGAACAACTGTTTGACCTCTGGTGGCAACTTGGGTGTTAGCCCAAGCCCAGCTGAAGCATGTCGTGGCCTTGTCGGCCTTGGGGGAGGCTTCCAAAGTGCATTGTGCCATATTCTTTAGCCTCCAATGAGCCTTATGATGAAACGGTGGGGTGTGCAGCCACAGCCAGGTGTTCTGCAGGGTGGCACCTCTGAGCTCAGAACCGCCACGGAGGAGACCAAGGCCAGAGGCAGGAAGGAATGGGCCGGATGTCTCTAGGGGGCATCACCCCACCCTGTACCACCTCAGGAACATGGCTGTCCTGGTGAGCTGTCGTGCTGCTGCTGCCTGTGTTCAGCCTTTCCTCACAGAGCCAGCCTTGGCCGTCATCAGCCTGTTCCCTATATGCTGGAGCCACAAGGGCAGTGTCAAGGTGGCCACTGCTTCCTGTGCCGGGGCTCCTAGACCTCAGGGACGTTCCTTCGTACTCCTTTTGCACAGCTGCTGCTGCAAAGAAACTCTTGATTGCTGTGGTTCTGAGACAGCAAAATTACCTCATGGCTGAGCAAAGGAAATCTTGCTCTTTGATTTCTGCGGAGAAGGACTGTAAAACTGCTTTTCTGAAGTGGTGCTGGTTCCTCTGCTCAAGGAGTTTTAGTCCTTGTGAGCTTTTTGTAAGGTTTTCAAGATAAATTTTGTTTGTTTCTAAAGGATTGTTTTGTGTCTTTGTAAGCTGCTTGAAAGCAGCATAGAATTAACTTAGAAAGATGGGTTGCCTTTAAGCAAGACCAAGTGGAAGATGTCGGGTGCATAATCAAGGTTTTCCTCACCATCCTGCTATGAACCTAACTTCCCCATGGTTTCCCCCACTCTGTTGTTGTGACCTTAATTTCATTACCTTTATGTCATACGCAGCTCTTTCCCCTGGAGACGAATATTTTCCCCCAGTGCCTGTGAAGGGATTATTGATTGTTTTGATGTCACTGCTGGCTACTGAAAATTGGCCTTGGTAGAGCCTGAATAGGATTTTCTAGCTTGACTGTGACCTTGCGCAGGGATTATCTGCTGTAGTGCCACACTGCAGCACATGAAGGGAAAGGGGGAGCTGTGGAATGCTTCCAGCAGGTGCAAATGAGGACCGAAGCACAAAAACCTTCCACAAATAGGCAGAAAATAATGTGTGTGGTGGAATTGCAGTCAGCAAGGCTTGAAGCTTGGGGACTTCCGGTAATGGCGTCGAGACAAGGCAGACGTGATTAACGACCCTCTGTCGTTATCACGCTGGTAAATGTCCAGTGGTGGGCCGTGAGCCCAATCTAAGCCCTGTCGGGGCGGAAGGTAAGTGCTGGAAATCTCCCAGGTGGTGGGGAACAGCAATTCCATGCCTACTGGGGGAGAATCAGCCATTTTCAGCTGGACAACACAGGGAGGAGATTAGCCTCCCATTAGTTTCCGACATACCAGAAGATTAGGAATTTGTCGTTGGATTTACTGGGACACATTTATTTTCTGTTTTTTTTTTTACATTATTACCCATGAGAACGCTGGGGTTTTTTTTGGTAACTGATATAAGAAAAAAAAAGGGAAGCCCTCCTTTCACAGAACTGCAAGCAGCAACTGAGATGAAGGAGAGAGATGGGGCTGTTTGTAAGTAAAGAAAAGGCTTTCTTTTTCTAATCTCTCCAGGGCAAAAAAAAATGAGCAATTAAGGTGGAATTGATTGATAGAAAATCTTTCTCTCTACTGGACTGCCAAGGATATCTGGATATCTGCCAAGAAATTTTTGTATTATGTAGCGTTTTTCTCTATTTTATGATCATCCTTGGGTGAGCATTGCTTTCCTTTCTTAGAAGGCTATTTGTGAAAAAGCTGTGCTTGTTACTAATTGGTATGAGAACAAAGAAAGTAAGTCCCTTTGAAGGAGGAAGGAAGCCCCCCCCCCCCCCCGCAGCAATCTAACCTTACCACGAGAGGACTTAAGGCTTGTGTAAAAGCTGAAATCCTGTCTCTTAAACCTCCTCAAGGGCAAAAACTAAAGTAACAATTATGGAATTAAGCTATACCAGAATATAACTTGTTGAAAGTTACTTTTCGTGTTCTTGGCCATCTATTAGCTTTCTGGGACTTCTGCCCAAAAAAAAAAAAAAAAAGGAAAATTGGATGACTGCCAAAATAAATTCCTGACAGGCTAATTAGAGAAGACTGTGATCTGCTGACACTCAGTGGACATTTGAATTATTGCAAGCTTTTTTTTTCCCTAACAATTTTCTGCTGACACCTGATGGATATTGGAGTTACTGCAAGCTCTCTTTTTTTCTTCTCCCCCTTTTTTCCTTTAGTTCTTCCTTTCACCTTCACCTCTCTTTTCTATTTTTTTTTCTCCTTTTTGGTGAATAACCTTCATCATGAGGAAAACACAGACCTCTTCCTCAGCTCCCTGTTCAGCGACTCAGAGCCCAACTCACCAACCTAAGATAGAAGAGATGGCAAAAAGCTTAAGGGAATTGCAAACGACGACTTTGGCGATACAGATGGCCTTAACAGCTTTGCAAGCATCCCAAGAGAGGATACAAGCTTCTCAAGAAGCGATGGTGACATGGCTGGAGAGTATGTCAAGTGAACAGAAAGAGCGATGGGATAAATTGGATAACTCTATTAAGGAGATAACAACTCAGCTAACAGAATACACAAAAATTACAGCAAACACAGGGAAAGCTAGAAATGGTGGATAAAGAAACACAGTTAAACAAACATGTAAGTCAACATGGGTTGCCGTGACCGTATTAGAGATGGAAAAAGCATCTTATTACTTAAGATTTCAGAATATATTAGAGGAGAAGAGTGAGAACTTGCGGGAATTCATGACCAATATGCTGGCAGGTGTAGATAATGAAGCCATGGAATTGGGGATCGACCTGATATGTAGGGTCAATTCAAGCTATACTAGAAGAAACAAACTCCCGAGAGAAGTTTATGTCAAATTTTCTCTAAGGTCTATAAGAGACAATGTTTTGAGGGCTGCACCATTAAAGAGAGATGATCATCAAGAAGTGAAGGTTCTGAAACAAATACCATGGAGAGTTAGAGATGGGAGAAAGAAATACTTATTTCTTACCACAAAATTGATTAAGAAAGAGATTACTTTCAGGTGGTTAATACCAGAAGGAATATTTTTCACTTGGAACTCTGTAAGATATAAATTAGACTCAATTCTCAAAGCCCAAGAATTCTATGAAAAATTTAGATCGATGCTCGAAGAGGATGAACCCGGCATTGCAAAAGAAGGAGGAAAAAGTACTGAAGCAATGGAAGTAACAGAGTATCATTCAGAAGAAGGAGAAGTAACGAATCTCGACACACAGCAAGAAGTACAAATTTTGGACCCAAAGGAGAAGAGAAAGGGTAGAGCTGTAAAGGTGAAAAATAAGTAGATATGTATATGTACATATATACATATATATTTATATAATTTTTCTTAAATATGGCTACAAAAAAAGAAGGGAGAATTGAGTTCCTCTCCTTAAATGTTAATGGACTGAATGGACCCGTTAAGAGAAGAAGGGTTTTCGCCCAACTTCAAAAACAAAAATTAGATATAATTTGTTTACAAGAAACACATATTAAGAAGCAAAGTGTTAAACTTTTGGAATGTTTAAAACTGGGAAAAGTGTTTGTATCTTCTACTTCTCAAAAGAAAAGAGGTCTAGCACTCTATGTTAAGGAAAAACTGGAACCTAAATTTATTCTTGCTGATGAGGAAGGTAGAATTCTGATGGTCGAAATTACAATTAAATGGAAAAAAGTACTTTTAGTGGCAATATATGCGCCAAATGATCATCAGGAGACTTTTTACCAAAAATTACACATGTTACTTCTACAAGTGGATTTCCAGATGATGTGTCTAATGGGAGATTTTAACGCGATTGTGGATAAACAAATGGATTATAAGAATGTTAGTAAAGGAAAAAAGGGTAGGAGGATACTCCCAAAGTCCTGCTCTAACATGACTGAGGAATTTAGACTGGCAGATGCTTGAAGGCACAAAAATCCATCTTCTGCCAAATACTCTAATACTCTTTTTACTCAAATAGACATAGGTTGTGGTCTAGAATTGATATGGTTTGGATAACTCCAGACTTAGTACCAGATCTGATAGAAGCTGAAATAGAGGCAAATGTCTGGGCAGATCACAACCCGGTATTCTTATCATTAAAAGGAACTGTAAGGGCGCCCAGATGGAGCCTAGATAAAGCATTGTTAAAAGATAAAAAATTCACAGAAAAGATGAATAAGGAAATGCAAGTATTTTTTCAAATAAATAAACCAGAAGAAACTTTACAGAATGTCTGGGATACAGCCAAAGCCTATGTTAGAGGAGTGATAATAACATACTCAGCACAAATAAATAAAAAGAAAAAACAAGAGCGAGCTCTGATAGTAGAGGAATTGATGAAATTGGAACAAATGCTGCAGGAGGACCCATCAAAACAAAGTCTTAAGTCTCCGCTGGATATTTTAAGGCATAAGTTAAACCTTTTGGATACAAATGAGCTTATTAAACAAATGAAATTGACCAAACAGAATTTCTTCAAAAATGCTAATAAACCAGGGAGATGATTAGCACATCGAGCGGCATTTTAACTGTTAACATTATTGGTTTTATCTGGCCAGGGCGGCTTATTTTATACTGTGTTGCTGTATTTTATATTTATATTTTAATTTATATTATAATTATTTTAATTTATTGATGTGAGCCGCCCCGAGGCTTCGGCGAATGGGGCGGCATAAAAATGTTTTAATAAATAAAAATAAAGTTAAGAAAGAAAAAGAGAAGAGATTGATCGTGAAATTGAAAGACAGAGAAGGACAGCTACATTTACAGGGTGCACAAATCAAGAAAAGACTTTTTTACAAAGCTTTATCAGAAGGAGGAGATTTCAATTGAGAAAGTTAAAGAATATATTCAAAAGGGAAAGTTACCAAAACTACCAGAGAAATATCAAAAATTATTAAACCAAGAAGTCACGATCATGGAAGTAATAAAAGCAATCAAGTGACAAAGGAATGACAAAACTCCTGGCCCGGATGGACTACCAGCCGAGTTTTACAAATCTTTCGAAGCAATTTTTGCTACACTCTTAAAAGACATATGTAATGAAGCATTGTTAAATGCTAAGATACCGACTACTTGGACTGAGGCAAATATCACATTAATACCGAAAGAAGATATGGATGTAGTACAGACTCAAAATTACCGACCTATATCACTATTAAATGTGGATTACAAAATTTTTGCTTCCATACTCGCAGAAAGATTAAAGAAGTTATTAGTAGACTTTATCCATCCAGACCAGAATGGCTTTTTGCCAAAAAGACAAATGAAGAATACCCTGAGAACTATCTTGGATATTTTAGAATATTATGAGATACATACCGAAAAACCAATGGCCTTATTGTTTTTAGACGCCCAAAAATCCTTTGGTAATGTTAATTGGCAGTTTATGAAACAACAGATGATTCAAATGGAGTTTGGTGAAAGATTTATGAATGCGATATCAAGTATTTATCAAAAGCAATCGGCCAGGATCTTAATTAATGGAGAACTTTCAAACCCTATAGAGATTCAAAAGGGCACAAGACAAGGATGTCCTCTGTCACCCCTCTTGTTCATTATGACTTTAGAGGTACTGAATAGATGTGTTAGGGATGA